ACAAGCCTTGCCATCAATAGTTGCAAATGGGAATCCAATGTGTAGAATTGTACACGAATATTGGGAATAGATAACATAAGACCTGGAAAATTTCAGCTCTTTTTCTGTGAAGTCAATCTATTCATATGAATCTCCCATAAAAGTATGTGCTAATGGAAAAGAAATTTATGTTCCTCATAGTCTTCTCTGTATGCTTTCTCTAAACAAGAATGAACTAATATATTGGCTTCTTGAGTCGGATATTAATCCATGTGATACAGAATAGGAATATTTTAAAATACATCTAGAGATATTAATGCAGTTATAGTCCTTATATTATTTCATTGATATTTAATTTATTTAAAACTATAGAAATAGGTTTTGTGTTGGTTCGGAAATATTATTTCTAGAAATCCTATTTGGTTACTATTTTTTATTTAAATATTCTTTTTATATTAGTTTATGTTGACACCCTATAAAGTAACTGGTGCTTCATCATGATTTAAAATACTGCTTATGAATAAAACCGTTGCTACTCTTTCATTGAATTAAGTGCTTAGCAACCTTGAATTATGGTGGTTGCTAACGTTTACGTGGATTGAAGTTACCATTTTCTTTTTCAATTATTCTCTACCTCATTCAGTTGTGCTGCATCACCATGTAAACAAGAAAGGTAATATGTCTTCACCCATTGTATAAATGCAATTATGTAAAATCATCATAAATAGAAAATGACTAAATAATAACTGGTGTACCATAGGAATAAAGAAGCTAAATTTACAAGTAGTTTTGGAATTAAATGCTCAATTCCCGATCACCAGGATTCTCAAGACACAACCACAGTTACAAACTTGTCACTGCCACAATTACAGAATCATCATAACCACAATTATAGGATTGTTAAAGGCACTCAACCGATGAGAGAACATCGTTATAGTTTATTCATAAGCAGTCTAAAACAATAAAGTGGCACCCAATTATTTATAGAGTTTCTAGGTATCCCAGTTATAGCAAGAATGCAAAAAAGGAAATACAACCAGATACACGAGTCCTAACTAAATACGGAATGATAAACCAGTTAAGAAACTATAAAGGTGAAGAAGAATCCTATACTAGTGATGAGAGGGAAACATATTCCGAGATGGTCCCTAATCAAAAAGACAACACGATTCTCTAGAAATAATTGATTGCTAAACTATCTAAAAAGCAGCTGTACTTTGGACCAGATAAATTGTGCAAGACAAATAAATTTTGTAAGATCATTGCCATATTTGAGAAACCAAAAAGGAAGATGTGACAGAGATAGATATGACTTCAAGCAAGGGCTTTAGATCAAACAGTTAGAGGGAACAGCTTTAGGCAGCACAACCAGGTCCATGCTTGAGTTTATTGAAAATGATGTTTTCCATGATTGTTTTTTAACCATGACAAACAACTTAGAAAATCAGTTTCTGAAACCATGCATCATAGACTATGTAGGCTTAAAGGTAGAGATACTTTGGCAAAGGGAAGTCTTAATTCAAACTTGAGAGATATTCAATGTGCAAAAGTATTCACTTTTCTTATCATCAAGATTACGACAGCAACGTCAAATCAAAAATATATAATAATTTAGAGAACATCTTAACGAGAAGATAACAATGAGGCATGCACTGTATTATTTAATTTTACCTAATAGCTCTTCGTAGTATTATAAAGATGACGAAGAGGCATGTCCTACAACATTTGGAAGCCATTCTTTGAAGTAATTCTGGCAGTCTATCTCTGCACGGGAGAGGGCTCCAAGTGGAGTGACAGTAATCTGAAATGAAACGGTGATAACCATTTAGATCCTGGAGTCCGTTAGACCTATGGACCAATCAAATGAATCAAAGATACACACATATCCTTCCTGAAGGGATTGTTTGTCTGTCTCATCATTGTCAACTTGGGTTCCCCTCACCTACAAGAATTCACAAAAAACGACTTGACAACACAAAGAAATAATGAACAAAAAGACATCTAGAAGATTTGAAAAGCAGACTATCAGTCAGGTTTCATTTTCCATTTGCTTCGTACCATATTTTACTGATTTTCCAAAAAGACTATTTCAGACAATGCATACGTATATATACTGACAATGAAGAACAGGAACTCACTAGATGACATACTATTATGTTCCCGACTCGTATATCTCTAGTTATGAGTCAGTTTAAATAGAAATCTGCAGAGACTTCTTTGTTTGTTGATTTCCTGCCTTTACCAATTTTCCGTGTAAATTAAGTTCATTAAGAGACAACCGTGAAACTTCTCGAGTAAATAGACACTGAATACTTTAACAATCTTGTCTATATCATTCATGGGAAGAAACAGGAATAGGTGCTTCTGTTCTTGGCAAAATATAGTAATTGTTACAATTGCTGAAGTAACTGCTACAACTGCTTAATATACGAAGTTTCTGCTCTTGGAAGAATATGGTAACTGATACAACTGCCTATAGTAACTGCTATAACTGCCTAATCTTATTTCTCTAGACTTGTCTAGACTTAGTCAACTTCTAAAACTACATTACACTTGACAGAATTTAGTCCTAACAGCCAAACAACTAAAACTAGAAGTAATTTAATTTTGAACAACAGATTCTTTCTTCCTTAAAACACCTGGCACACAGGATGGCTTTTATGTGTTAAGATCCCCAACACATCCTTTTAGTGGACAGTTCCAGAGGATGCCATCCAGCAGTCTATATCAATATGTATAATACATGCACATCAGAAGGACAGCAATGTAGCTCCACCAAGTGACATGTGCTGCTCAGTTTATTTCATTGAAAGGCGGTAGGTGAGGGATGGTGCACCTGTAAACAGCCTCTCCACGTCGACTATTCAGATTCTCACAATTTCACTGAAGAAGAAGTTTAACCGAATTTACAGAAGCTCTTGTAGATGTAAGAGGAAATTAACACAATAAAAGAAGAGACAAAAGAGTAATTATGTGACTTGCCAATGGATAAGTGCTTGTTAAGGTGACACCTGAAATTGCACCAGAGTCACTCTATGGTAATAGGAGGACATTAGTTTAATCAATAAGACAAATGAAAAGTAGCTAACATGAGAGGCAGTGGATAAAACCGAGGGGCAGAAAATGAAATGAAAGGACAGCCATCAAAAAGTAAAACTTGACTTGTTAGTATTTGAGCTAAAAGATGATGAACTGGAACAAATAATTAGAATGTGAACAAAGAGACAGAAAGATATTGAAAACCCACCTCTCTCTTGAACAAGAGGTTCTCTTGCAATGTGGTTGATGTATCAGTTTCTGTCACTGCTGCTGATTCTGTTTCCATTGCCATTGTTGATAACATCTTGGCCCCTTGCTGTTCATCAGTAACTTGCCTCCATCCCATTTTGAAAAAGCTTTTACCCTGCTTGGTCAACTTATACCCCTTTTTTCAAGGAAGAAGCAAAATCCAAAAACAACATCATCAAGAGATTGCACAATAATAGAAATTGAACACTCTTAGGCACTTAGGCTCAAGGCATTCACCAAGGCACTTCAGTCCACCATTGATAAAGGTTGGGCCAAATCATGGTGAAGGTGCTAACATTAGTGCAAGCTGAAGCCTTGAGCTTAGGCAACCTACTAACAAATGAAAAATATACATAAGCAATCAGATTATGTGGAATAAGAAGCTCAAAATAGCTGAATCATCATGAAGTGTTACCTAATATAAAGAAGAAGAATCCTTCAAGATACCAAATAGATTGACAGTGATGAAAGTAACAAACAAGAAGAATTCAAGCCTATGCACAATTTTTGTTTGGAATCGAGAGAACCAAAAGTTTACTTTTACTTTTTTTTTGTTCCGAAATAACTCTTATCAAATGGCACTATATTGATGTGAACAATTAGGAGTAATTCACAGAATTAGTTAGATAACATAATAACATCTTTTTCATATATCCCCTATAGATATTTATAGACATATAGATACATTGACTTTAATTTTATACATCTGTCCTATTGCAACCATTTTTTGCTAATTCATTCGCCTTCGATAATTAAATGAAATGTGAATATCCACCTTCCTCTCTTTGAAACAAAGGGCATTTCTGGTTCTTTGGTACTTAAAAACAATTTTGTT